AACTAAAATCATTTCAATAATAAAATGAACATAATTAAAGTAATATGATGTGAAAAGGATCCTTATGGTTTTAGGAATTCAATCTGTAAATATGGGGTGGACTACAGACCACACTAGCTTTATCGAACTGACCCAGTGTTTCCTATGACCCACAGTCCAAGCAGGGGCTCATTAGCAGGTCACCAAAGTTAGGTTCCTGAATCAAGGGGTCGCAATCTCAGTTTGTGGATTACAGGTCTTCCCCTAGAGACGAGTTAAGGTCACCACGACCTGATGCGACCACAGCTCTATGGCGCATAGAGGTATCTCTCGCACATGCATACGCTTCACCCAAAGGTGGATATATGGCTTTTCCGAACGATCTATCGATATGCATACCATGTGATGGAACATAGATGAGGTTTTGGCCCCCGTCTCAGTAGGCCAACCATCACACACAAGGGTCACACAATCCTTCGGCTCTTTCATCTAGGCATAAGCTCCGACCTCATCAACGGTTAACCCAAAACCCTTCTCGGTTAATTCTTTATGCTCAGGTACCTTGGGTTTTCCAACCGACTGGCCTAGATCGATAAATACAATCCTGTATAAATAAATATCATTTGCTTAGTATGGTCCTCGAGGGACCACACTTCTATTGAGTTTATGTTTCACTATAAAAGTATTTTAATACACAGGCCACATAAACCCAACATAATTCTCACCATCTTAAGCATAATTTCTTCATTCTTGCACCAAATGATACATTTTCAGTTTTTGTCGTGAAACGACAACAATGTATCGATAATTATTTTCAGACTGCAGTTAGTGCATGATATTGTTGTAAACTTGCTAACAACTACATGGTCTTGAGCAGATGGTAACAACCATCTGATCAAGATCATATGGTTGTCGATCAGATGATGCATATAATTGTATATGTTTGAGGACGTAGTAATTACTTAATTAACAATTTGTGCACATTTCTTTGTTCAGGTTGGTGATCCAGTGGCTGATCATCAGTGTTGGATGCGGCCTGAAAACATGGAAACACCAAGAACACTATATAAGATTGATGAGAGCACCCCAGGCACTGAGATTGCAGCAGAGACAGCAGCAGCCATGGCTGCATCTTCGTTGGTCTTCCGAAATACCGATCATGCTTACGCCCGCCGCCTCCTAAACAAGGCCAAATTGGTATGACTACTTGTTCATAAAATTAGAAACAAAAGGAAAAGGCAACTTTTGAGTTTTCTAAATAATTTCAAACGAATACCAAACCATAGCACTTGAAAAAATTGCAAGAATTTCATGTCTTCCTGATTTTGTATGGGTTTTGTTGCAGCTCTTTGAATTTGCTGTGAACCACAAAGGGACATATGATGGAGAATGCCCATTTTACTGCTCTTTCTCAGGTTATAATGTTAGTATTAAGTGCTCTACTTCTCTGGTTATATGTTTTTGTAGTTATTTTATCCAAAGGTGTAACCCTATCACATTTGGTTGGACTTGGGATGTCAACAGTGCTTCATGTTTGCTAAGATGATAAAGAAGTTATAACTTTTTTCGTCTGATAACAATTTTGAATGTATATTGCGATCTTAAATCAATAACAATAATTAATAACAAGGCCAAAAAATATAATAATAATAATAATAATAATAATAATAATAATAATAATAATAATAATAATAAACAATGACGACGACAACTACAAGGGAGATGTATGCTAGTATCCTTTTTATTTTGGGTTATTAAACAACATTAACAAGGGAGATTTATGCTAATATTTTTTTATTTTACATTATTAAAAAGATGCCTCTCATTTTATATAGTTTACGCTTATGTCTCTTTTTTCACATTTTCTTATTTTTTTCCCCAAGTACCCCTAGTTCGTAACTCCTTATTCCGAACTAGAGTGTTTCTTTTTTATTTAATGTGTTGTTAATTACTCCAATATCCGAACCCAAGAAACTAATTGGTTCAAAAATTAAAGTTCCAAACTAGTTATCTAGAATTAAAAATTAAGCCTCGCCATTCAAAACTTGAACATCATTCGGAACTTCAAGTTTTGAACTAATGACTTGTATTTTTTTCTTAAACATCCCAGTTTGGAACTGGTTGCATTTTAGGAAGAATAAACAAGGTGAAAAAAAAGGATGAGCTTAAAATATATAAAATAGAAAATATTCTTTTATTACGTCAAAGTAAAAGAAATATCAATGTAAATTTTATTATCAATAACAAAACAACAACAATATAATAATAATAATAGTAATAATAATAGTAATAATAGTAGTAATAATAATAATAATAATAATAATAATAATAATAACAATAATAATAACAATAATAATAATGACAATAATGACAATAATAATAATAATAATAATAATAATAATAATAATAATAATAATAATAATAACAATAATAATAATAATAATAATAATAATAATAATAATAATAATAATAATAATAATAATAATAATAAT